AAGACAAAGAGCAGGGAAAGCAGTTGTTTGTTAGGGAGCCTGGTCTTATAAGAAAGGTGACCTCCCATGCCTTTTGACTTTGAATTGTGTTTGCATTAAGATTGTGGATTTTAAAGTCACTAGACTGCTTTTCAGTTCAATTCCCTAAGGGCAACAGATTTGAGGCAAGGATCAAGAACATTATTCCAAGCTAAAGGCAGGGAGAAGTTAGTAACAGTTAAAATTGAGAGAAGATGAGTTGCTCGTGGCAGTTTTGACGGCACATCACGCTGTACTACAGCATGCTTCTGTGTGTCCCTCAGACATCAGAAGTGGGTTAAATTCTCTTCTTGTTTCTCATACATTATTTGATAAGGCAAGGAAGAGTGGAACACATTTTGTATATAACATTTCAGAAAAAAAATGGACCAAAAAAGTTTTTTTTAGAAGGAAAATTCAAGTATTTGGCAACTTCATTTATGTGATATCTTACTGATGCTGACTAAATGAAGTGTTTGTTAGTACATTGCCAGCGAATTGTTTATTGTAATTTTTTGTCACTTAAGTTTCATTTTGTCAGGCAAAAACCATACAGGGGTCAATTACCTGGGTTTGTAATTTTGGTCTAAGTACTTGAAGACCACTGGCTTCCCCTCTGTGGAACCTTTAGACCTGACCAGCCTATTTGTCTCTCGGCCAGTGTAATTGGGAGCCCAGCTCCTAATGAGGCAGCCTGGGTCGCTTGACCCACCCAGCACCCTGGAGAAGAGGAAGCTAACTATGTGTAAAGTGAGTCTAGGTTTGGATGAGAAGGGCTTAACTCTTTGTTCTGCATTGAGCTCTTCCATGATTTTATACAGGAGTTCTAAAATTGTTTAAGTTATGGAATCTCAGCAAATAGAATTTCATCTTCTCTAATGTGTCGTGACAGGGTGGATGTGGCCCGGGTTCTTGAAGGGCATGTTAGCCAGCATTAGGTAGATCCTAGTAAACTGCTGGAAAGGTATCACATGGGGAGGGAGCCCCTTTTATGGACTGTATGTCACTGGAAGGCTAAATTTTGGGGAAATTCACCAGGGCAGCTATTAGAGGTTACAGGACTTGGAGTCAAGAAGACCTGAGTTCATGTCCCGCCTTGGACATTGCCTAGCTGTATGACCCTAGGCAAGTCCCTTTAACCTCTCTGTGTCTCAGTTTCCTTTTCTATAAAATGAAGATATTGTGGAGATAAAATGAATTAATACATGTATTTTGAAAACTTAAAGTATCATGTAAATATTAGCTATTATTACCAAAGGGTAGATACCAGATGATGATTTTTTTTTTGTTCATAGCAATTCACTTAAGTATCTATGGTGTGGAAAGCACTGTGCTAGGCTTTAGGGACATAAGGATAATTATTGCAATAACTTCCTGATTAGGCTTGCTTTCAGTTTCTCCATTTCATCCTTAACACAACTCAAATATTCCTAAAGCACAAGTTCTACCTTGTCACACTCCTACTTAGAAAGCTGCAGTAAGAGCTTGGAAAGCTATTTTAGATGTTAACCTTTTTTTGTTTGTCATGGATCCCTTTGGCAATCTGATGACTCTTATGGACCCCTTCTCAGAATGTTTTAAATGCATAAAACAGAATCCATGGGATTACAAAGGAAACCAATTATATGGAAATACAGTTATAAAGTTCATGGACCCCAAATAAAGAACCGCAGCCTAGGATAAGATGGAAACTTCAGAGCAAGAAGGGATTTTAGACGCTAGTCCAGGCCTCTCATTTAGGGGAGACTGACGAGAGGGGAGATCCAGTGATTTGTCTGACGTACCACAATATTAGGTGGCAGAAGCGGGTTGAATTCTGGTCCTCAGACTCTAAATCCAGTGTTCTTTCTGCCAGCCCAGTCACTTCTATTTGCCTCCCTTCACTATACAGCTCCAGCTGACCTTTCTAGGCTTAGTAGTTCCCATGACTTTGGTTTTATGAATTCTGCCTTTTAGGCAGGCTGGCTGCTTTGCTCTTCCCCGAACATAACATTATCTCTTGCCCCTTTGGCCTTGTGCCAAATTGTACTTCACCAGGCCTGTCTGCCTTCAGTCTTCTTGAACCTGTAACTTCCTTCAAAGCTTAGTTCATGTCCTGCTCCTACAGGAATGCTGTCTAGATCCAGTTGTTAGTGTTAACCCTCCCTCCAAAAGAAATGACTTTGTATCACTCTGTGTGTGTGTGTGTGTGTGTGTATGCATACATATGTCTGTATATTTTCATATTTATCATCTGTGCCCATGATTACCCCCATTGGAATGCAGATTATTTTTTGGTGTTTGTATCTCCAGCACCTAGCACAGTGCCTGACAAGTTTAATAACTGCTTATCAACTGAATGAATAAGAAGCAGACTGTGCTCTCAAGAAGCTTAAAGGCAAATGGGGTGAAAGGCTTACACAAATAACTAGCATACCAGGGGAAATGTAATGAATGCAAGAAGAGGCCTCAGGAAAACTGGTCATCTACACCAGTGGGGGTCAAACTCTTGAAAGTGAGGACTATTCCATACAAAAGGATCCCTGGAGGGCCACATATTGGCTTAGTTTTAAAATGTAATATCTATCTTTTATTGCCTTTTTATATTTCATTAAATATTTCCCAATTACATTTTATCTGGTTCTGCTAGGGTCTCTTATGGGTGTGTGTATTTGACATCTCTGCCCTTAAAAGTACAAAGGGTTGGAATTGGCTTTGGGAGCGCTCACCCGAGTGGACGATTCTTGTATTTTGAAGTGCACTGACTTGTTAGAATATTGGATGTGCTTTATCCCAATTTCTGGTTTATTGACAGTTGGCATTGGTTTCTAAAGACTCTAATGAATCAGAGTGGCATTTTAGTCCACAAGAAATAGCTCTAGACTGTCATCTTTTTGGATCAATTATCTCATGTGTAAAATGAAAGAGTTAGATTAGATGATCTCCAAAATTCTCTAGGTGTAATTAATAATATCCTCTCAGAATTTCTGAGTGCCAGGAACATGTCGTTTGAGTAGGTTACCACTAGATGGTGCTAATTGTTCATTTGGGTAGCCTTAGGTCAGCAGTTATTTCTTTGGAATCATGACTTGAGAATCTCCAGAAGTTACATCATATACAACCAAGGAGAAAGTCATAGAATTTTAGGCCTGGGTGAAATGTGAGAGATTATCAAATTTGTAATCCTGGTGTTCTGTTTGATTTACAATTCTTTTTGATGACAATTCTCTGCTTGCAGGACCGTATCTGCCTTGAGCATGAAGTGGCTAGTTTCTGTTGTTGACTTATTTTCTCTTCAATGATGATATGTAGCATGTCTAGGATTCACTTATTACTGGTACTTAGCTATAAATGTCTCTGCCACTGATCAGTCAGCACTTCAAAATGAGAGAATGGCCATTGTCTCATCTTGCTCTCATATTTTATTTTCTGTACCAATCAAGATTAGGGCTATAAAGTAAAAGATCAGTTTTGTTTCTTCTGGTGCATGTCTCCCAAATTTTCCTCTCTGATGACCACTTTTATAAAGCCTTTCCTGTCCCTAGCTCCCCTTACTCCCCTAACTCATGCACTCCCTCCTGAACCTACCTTATATTGATTTTGTATACACAGGTATAACTCATTTTATTGCACTTTGCTTTATTGCGTTTTTGCAACTGTTGCATTTTTTACGAGTTGAAGGTTTGTGGTAACCTTGCATCGGGCAAGTCGATCAGTGCCATTTTTGCAACAGCATGTACTTACATGTCACATTTTGGTAATTCTCACAATATTTTAACTTTTTCATTATTACATTTGTTATAGTGATCTGTGATCTGTGATCAGTGATCTCTGATGTTACTATTGTTTTGGGGCTCCATTATGCCCATATAAGACAGTGAACTTAATAGATAAATGTGTGTGTTCTGACTGCTTCACTGACCAGCCCTTCCCCATCTCTCTTCCTTTCCTTGGGCCTCCCAATTCCCAGAGATACAACAATATTGAAATTAGGTCAATTAATAACCCTACAGTGGGGTCCAAGTCCAAGTACCCAAGCACCCCATCACATCCATACCCATCTCTTTTTCCAAATTTTTCTCCTCATGGGATTTATTTTACTTTGGGTGTTTGGAATTTTATTCTTTAGAGTCCATGGGATCCTACCCATTCTTCCTCTGAACCCTTTTGAAATATGCTTTCTACAAATCTAGGGTAGATGCAGGGGGAGAGAGTGTTGTGGAGGGAGATTCAACAAGACTTGATAACTGATTGGTGTCCTGGAGGGCAAAGATCAAGTTGTTGACTTATCTTGAAACGAGCTCTGGATTTTTAGTCAGAAGATCCAGGTTCCAATCTCAGCTCAGTTACCCTTTAGAGGTGTGATTGATGCTGGACAAGTCAACACTTCTCAGGGTCTCAAGTTCTTCATCTATAAAATGAGGGGATGAGATTAGAATTGAGGCCAGTAAACTACTATGGATTTATTATCCCCCCCTTTTGCACATCGAAGGAGCTAAGAATGATTTTTACATTTTAAAATAAAATTTAATTGTATTCACTTTTTAAAAAAGTTTTTAGCATGAAGGCTGTGCAGAAAAACAGGTGGCCCTTGGATTGTAGCTTGCCAAACCTGGGCTAGATCATAGAATCATAGATTTAAAGTAGAGGCCAAGGAGTCCCTTCATCTTGCAGATAGGGCATTAGGCCCCAAGTGACTTGCCACTAACAATGTAGTAGTGTGCCTGTCCCTCCACAACCCATCTGACATGGAGTGTTGCCTTCTTTTGTCCTCTCTGCCATCCCTTTCACTTTTAATCTATGATCCTATGAGATTATATGCTTTTTGTACAGGTAAGAGTGTACAACTGCACTAATACCTTGGGGACACCGTGACCCTAAGAGGTGGGCGGTGGGAGCAAATCACAGTCTTAGTTGTGTAGTGAATCCAATTGAGATTGCAACCTCGACCCTTCCCCCACTAGGGGGCGGAGAATTTCCTGTTCGAAACTCAAGGCGGGAAGATGAGGGGGAAGAGAAAAGAGGATAAAAAAAGGAAACCACGTGCATGTCCTCGTGACCCGGAAGCAAACTCCTTTGCTCTTTTCCCCGTCCCGTCACTTCCGCCACCCCTCTGTCAGCGGGAGGGATACAGCTTATTGGTCCGGCCTGTAGCTTCAGCTGCTGGCTTCGCCGCCGCCATCACCATGATTCAGTTTTTGGTGAGTCCCGGCCTCGCGCTGCCTTTTCTGCTTCCACCCTGGCGTCGGAGACAGGGCGGGGAAGGGGGGGGTGATAAATTGGGGGCGGCTCCTTTGGCAGCGGGTTCGCGCCCCCACCCCCCTCAGCTGGGAGGAGCCCCGTTCCCTCGCGGGGCGGGGCCTGCGGTGACGCTCCCGAACCCCGCCGTATCTCCGGACACGTGTTCCTGGACTGGGGCCCCCAATCCTGACTCTTGAGCGGAACCTCCCTGAGGGTTCCTAGCTTCGCCTGACTCGCTCAGTTCTCTGGATCCCCAGTTCTCTGACGCCTTTCAAGTTGTCTGTTGTTTCCCAACTCTTTGCTATGCTTATCTCGCCTGGTTGAGTTTGGTTGTCTCCGTAGCTGTCTCCGCACCCCTCCCGTTCTGTAAGCACCCCAGGGCTTACGTCTCGCCCTGCCAAGCACGAAGCTTCATAAATGATGATTGAAGTAAATCGAAATTTGCTTTCTTAGCCCTTGACCTACTTCTCCACGCACCTGGATGCCTCAGCTCCAACCTCTCTCGTTTTTCTCTGGAGTTTTTCTGGTTCATAAAAACCTGGTGTAGCCTAAGGATTTTAAAACCTGTTGCTGTACTCCTGATGCTTTGGGGGAGGGGTGAGAGAGGAGTAGAGGGGGTTTACTTCTCTTTATTTTTCCAACAACATTTAATGTAGTCATCCCGACTCGGAGCCCTTCTTCGTCACGGAAGATGAAAACTAGAAGTAAATAGTAGCTTTCAATATAGTAACTAATGAGAGGAATAAAACGAGGCTTGTCAGAAATTACAATTGGCTTAGTGTATCTGTCTACACAGAATTCTATGGCTTCCAGATTTTGAAGATCGCTGGTTGGGTGTGTACAGCTGGAGCAGTTCTTACTGTTGTACACAACTTTTTCCAAAGTGCTCTTGGGGGGAAAATGTATTGCCATGAATAAGTGGAATATTTGTCATAAACTTAAAAAAAAAAACTACGGTTCTTCGCCTGAACTTGATTGTTTTTCCACTTTTCAAAGAAGTAGTATGATGCAAGTTTCATGAGTTAACTTGCCGGTAAGTTTCCAAACCAAATCACTGATTAAAATAAATGCTTATTTTACCATTTGTGATCCCAGATTCTTTTTTTTTATTTTAAAAATAAGTTTATATATGCCATTTGGTTTTTAATGCCACATTCATTTTCTGATTTATTCTCCCTCACTGAACCTTTTCTTGTAAAACAGATAGCTTGGTTAAACCCACATCAATCGACAACACCCGTAGTTTTTACCTGCTTCTGATCCCGGATTCTTTAGGCTTTAGTATTTTGTAAGTGGCATATAGTCGAATGTCATTTTGAGTGACCAATTTTACTTTCTGAAAAGGGCATATAAAGTTTCTTATAATATTAGTCAGTGGGTTTTGAAGATTTACTGGAATGAAGCACTATCTACAGGCAAGAAGCTTGCATTCTAATAGGGAAGAGAGGTATTTATGTAAACATATACAACAAATAAATGAATAAATAAAAATACATAAAAACCAGTTAAATACAAGGTAATTTGGAAGAGAGAGCATTAGCATTGGGGGAGGGATCAGATTACTTTTTAACAAGAGAGTAAAGCACTGCCTTATTCTTAAACGTTGACAGTAGCTACTTAGTTATCCTGGGCAGCTTGGTAATAAAGGGATGGAATGCCAGGCTTGGAGTCAGGAATACTCATTTTTAATTCAAATCTGGCCTCATATGCTTACTAGCTATGTGACCTTTCCTCTTTGCCTGATTCTTCATCTGTAAAATGAGCTGGAGAAGGAAATGGCAAACCACTGTACTGTTTTTGCCAAGAAAATCCCAAAAGGGATTTTCACAAAGAGTTGGACGTGAGTGAACTAATAACATTTAGTTATCCAGGCCAGTGTAAAGGATCATTGGCCTGACCTGCCCACCTTGGCCATTGTTATTACTATGCTCTCAGCAAGTTTTCTGTAATCTTACAGGTATCCCTGGTGGGTTGGTAATCTGGAAGCTACTTATAATGTTTTTAATGTCATTTACTTGTAGGAGATAATTTAAATACGTTGTTAATTTGCTTTGATTGTAAAATGGAGACATTTGACCTAATTACAGTCAACTATATTATCAAAGCAAGGTATAACATTGTCATTGTCAACATGAGATGTAGGGTAAGATAGATTTCTATATCCAACTGAGTGTGTATGTTATTCCTCCTTTGAGCTAATTCCGAGCAGAATAAGGTTCAAGCACTTCCCCCCCTCCACCTCTCCAATTATTCCCTCCACTGTAAAAGTTCATTTGCTCCTCTTTGAGATAATTTACCTCATTCTGCCTCTCCTTTCTCCCTTCTCCCAGTGCATTCCTCTTTCTCACCCCTTTATTTTTTAGATATCATCCTGTCATATTTACACCCTTAATCTCTGTCTAGGTAGACTCCTAACTGCCTAAATAGTGACAAAGTTCTCTTAGGAGTTAACAAATATCATCTTTCTATGTAGGAATGTAAACAGCTTAACTTTATTGAATCACTTATGATTTCTCTTTCCTGTTGACCTTTTTATGCTTCTCTTGAGTCTTGTATTTGAAAGTCAAATATTTTACTCAGCTCTGTTCTTTTCATTGGGCATTCTTGAAAGCCCTCAATTTCATTAAATATCTGTTTTTTTCTCCTGAAGGATTGATTATACTCAGTTTTGCTGGGCATACTATTCTTGGTTGTAATTCTAGCCTTTGTCCTCCAGATTATCATATTCCAGGTCCTCCAGTCTTTTAATTTAGAAGCTGCTAAATATTGTGTTATCCTGACTGTGACTCCATGATATTTGAATTGTTTCTTTCTAACTTCTTGCAATATTTTCTTAATGACCTAGAACTTTGGAACTCCTGGGAGTTTTCATTTTGTGATCTCTTTCAGTTGGGATTCTTTCAATTTCTGTTTTACCTTCTGGTTCTAGAATAGGGCAGTTTTCCTTGATAATTTAGTGAAATATGACATATAGGCTCTTTTTAAAAAATCATGTCTTTCAGGTGGTCCAGTAATATCTCTCGATATTTATTTTCCAGGTCAGTTGTTTGTCTAGTAAGATATTTCTCATTTTCTTCTATTTTTTCATTCTTTTGATTTTGTTTTTATTGTTTGTTGATATCTCATGAGGTCATTTTTTCTACTTGCCCAATTCTAATTTTTAAGGCATTATTTCTTCAGTGAGCTTTTGTACTTTTCCATTTGGTCATTTCTACTTTTTGTTGTTGGTTGTTTGTTTGAAGGCAATTGGGGTTAAGTGACTTCCCCAGAGTTACACAGCTCGTAAGTGTCAAGTGTTTGGTCTGAGGCCGGATTTGAATTCAGGTCCTTCTGACTTCAGGGCCGGTGCTCTATCCACTGTGCCACCTAGCTGCCCTGTCATTTCTACTTTTTAAGGGATTTTTTTCCTTCTGTAAATATTTCTATCTCTTTTAGCATTTGGCCAATTTTGTTTTCTAATAAATTCTTCTCTTGAGTGAATTTTTGTGTATCTTTTTCCATTTGACCAATTCTGGTTTTAAAGGAGTTCTCTTCAGTGGATTTTTTGTGGTTTTACCATTTGGCCTATTCTATTTTTAAGGTTATTTTCTTCAGTGTTTTTTGTGCCTCCTTTACCAAGCTGTTGACTCTTTAACAAAATATATCTATATCTATATATATATCTACATATATATATATATATATATATATATATATATCATGCATCACTCTCACTTCCTTTTCCATTTTTTCCCTCTCTTATTTGATTTTTAAAATCCTTTTTGAGCTCTTCTAGGAATTCTTTTTGGTCCTGAGACCAATTCACATTTTTCTTTGAAGCTTTGGATGTAGCAGTTTTGACTTTGTTGTCTTCTTCTGAGTTTGTGTTTTGATCTTTTCCCTGTCACCATAGTGACTTTCTGTAGCCAGGTTATGTTGCTGTTTGCTTATATGTTAAAGTTGGGCTGTGCTTCTTGGGTAGAGAAGGAACTGTCCCAAGTTTCAGTTTTTTTGTGTAACTATTTTCAGATCTGGTTGTGGAGGAGTCTGTTAAATTTTCAGTTCTTGTTTGTTGATATGGTGGTGTGATATAAGGAGAGATATATTTACTCCTCTCCTGGCCTGTGCTCTAATCTGTGAGTGACCACAGGCATTCTTTTCTGCCCTGGAACTGTGTCCAGGGTCCCTGCTTTGGCTAGCACTCGTTCTCTCTGTGTGACTTGTGACCTGGAACTGCATATGGCCAGTGCAACAGAGTCCTTAGTGTGATGCCAGCAAAAGGTCTTCTGTAATCTTGTGACAGGTTGTCTGCCCCTTTACCATTTGTCTGAGAGCTCCAGAAATCACCTCTATGAGTCAGTTGTTCCCAATGCCTGCACTGGCTTGTTGGAGATCAGTTTGCTGCCTCAAAAATCTGCACTCCATTCTTGCCCTGTGTGATAGACCCTTCCTGCCAACCTTCTAAGGTGTCTTGGGCTGGAAAATTGTTTCACCTTGTCCTTTTGTGGGTTCTGCCGCTCCAGAATTCTGTTTTGAGACATTATTTAAAGTTGTTTGGAGAGGAATTTGGGAGAACTCAGGGTGAGTCCTTGGCTTTTCTTAGCCATTTTGTCTCTGTCCCCTGGGAATAGTACTCTCAAACTTAATTTTGCCTTTTAAATTGCTTATACTTTTGTAAAAACTATACTTAAACTAGAAAGAAGTAGTTTTGATAATTCCTTGAATTTAGTTAAATCTACATATTATCAAAGAAATTTTGGAGGTCATTTTTAGATTTCTGTACTTTTGAAGTGCAAAACAAAGTAATTTTGATTACTATATATGTGTATGCATATGTGTATATATATATATATATATAAAATCAATGATACTTACTTTTAAAAAATGCATTTGTTGAGTCATTTTAAATTTCTTTTGGTTTAACATATATTCAAGAGGAACCCTTAGAATAAATTTATAACCTTCCATGTAACTGTATTTC